CTGGGGCCTCCTCACTCTTGGCCATGACCCATGGAGCTGCTTCTTGGATTGCGTGACTGCTGGGTTTGGAGGACAAGGACGGAGAAGGCGTTTGCAGACAGGTTTCCAATGCCCTCAGCCTAGCCTCGGTCCAACCTCACCTCTTACTGGACTGTTGGGGCTCTTTGACCCCCTCCAATGAGATCTGCTCATTCCACTCCCCTGCTGACAGGGCATTAGCTCAGCAAATATTGACTCCACCTCCTCCTCTGGGCAGGCACCATGCCAGGGAGGCTCTGGGGACAAAAGACCCAGTTCCTGGCTTCCATGAGCTGACAGTCTTCCCCAGATGCCAGGAGAGTAGTTCCTCTGCCTCTAATCCAAGGTCCCACAGGGATGCTGACAACTGCAGAATTCTGAGTTCTAAACAGCCCTTCACCACCCCCATGGTCTCATTCACTCCAATAACCATGAGCACATCTGCTCTGTCCCCTTCCCTTCCCACCTGACTGTGAACTCTTTGGGTTTCCCCCAATACCCTTGTCCTGAGGCTCTACCCAAAGCAGGCCCTTGATGAGTGGGCACTGAGGGCAGGAACACTGGGTGCCTTCCTTTGTTCAAGGCTTTCAGATCTCTGGAGAAGGAGTGAAAAGACATCCAAAGGGCTTTGCTGCTCTCGGGTACTATGTCTGGTTAGGGTGGGCAATGCCCCTTGTGGAAAAGCTGGAAGGGATGTTGAGGGCCTGACTGGCTTCTGTAACGCCTGAGCAATGTGTTGGATGTTAAGCCATTTACATTAGAGAAAGCCTGATAATTATTGTGCTGTAGTTTTCTCAGTAGATGAGAGGAGAAAAAAAACCTGTGATGTGACAGGGGGCACACACGGTCAGGCGGCCTGGAGCTTGACTTCCGGCCTGACAACTAGACCTTTGATTCACTGCTGCGTGAGCTTGGGCAGGCCGCTCAGGACCTCTGAGCCTCAATCTGGTCGCCGTCACCATGTGGAGAACAGCACCTATGCATAAATGTAGGCTGTAAGAATTTCCAGAGATAATGTAGGCAAGGCTTCGGGCATGGAGCAGGTGCCTAGGAATGGGTGATATTTTTTGTTATAACTTACGAGAAAATGCCTGGCACCTAGGAAGTTCAGCCATGTCAGCTTTTCTTCCCTTTCTTTCTCATAAAAGGGAAGAGTCGCCAGATACTATAGCTGCTTTCATGGTCCTACCAGCCTCATGGCTCTTCATTACAGGGGAATTTAAGGAAACAACAAAAAATGCCCATTTTGTGTACTTGGCACGAACTGGGTCTTCATTAAGGTGTGATTTCATCTGCCCCATGATCGATGAGTCTGCCTTCACAGAAGCTTTGAGAAATCACCAAGAACAGGAAATGACCCAGACATTCCTTGGGAACGCATTAGAGTTTCTTGTTATCACCACTACTTCAAAGAAAGTTTTCTCCTGAAAACCTCCAATAACACCATCAAAGAGTGGATGATCTGCCCCAAACTCGGCCTTCCAGAATAAGTTTCAGTTCTGGGCTTTGGGGGGCACTGGAAAAGTTTCATTCACAGTTACAGACTCAAAAAAGGCTCCTGGCATGGGACTGACCTACTGACATGCTCCCTGCCAGAAGGAGGCAAAATCTGGGTCTGCTGATCAGAACTGCAGAGCTGCCACTAGTTACTGTCCCTCCAGTCACTGAGGGTTTTAAGGACACTGGCTACCACTCCTTTTAGTGACAAAACATAAGGCTAGAAAAGTTGTGATCAAAATGGCTGTTCTTACGCACAGGTGACATTGTCTATCATCTCTACTGTCTTGGTAGGCCACAGAGAGCTATGTCATAAGCACCACACAGACGTCAGACTCTGTCATTGAGTGCTCTGTCCTCCTGGGAATTTTTTTTAAAAGAATTACACAGTTTCTCTCTCATACACACATACATGCTACACGCACAGAGATGTTAATGTGTGATATCATTGAAAAAATCTGGGAAACACTATGTCTAATAGCAAGAGGATGATTTAGACCAGTGTTTTTCAAAATTTTTTTTAGTAAGCAGAGAAACCCTTCANGGGAAACACTATGTCTAATAGCAAGAGGATGATTTAGACCAGTGTTTTTCAAAATTTTTTTTAGTAAGCAGAGAAACCCTTCATTTAAAAGCCATTAGGCAAAATGGATGAAAAACTACAACTGCTCTGGTCTCTGAGTCTTAACTGCAGCCCACCCATGGCTGCTTCTCCTCTCTTCAATGATGCCTGAGATTTTCCTTGCAAGTCCCTAGGTATGGCCAAGCATGGTTTAATAGTCACTGCCTTAATAAATTATGGTACATCCACGTAATAGAATAGTTTCCATGGACTGAAAAATCATTTTTAAGACAAGGTAGCTATAAATATTAATAATATGATGTTAAAGAGAAACAATAGAAACATTGTAAATATATATATTTATGGATATACACACATGTAAAACATGTATGCACACATATGCACACATACACACACAAGCAGGTAGTTTTAGCCAAGACTTGGAAGGGAGTATTTTAAAAAATGCAAACAGATATGACAGTTTCCTATTTCAAAATTTTCTTTAGAATAAATATATGTCATCTTTCCAGTTAAGAAACAACTTGCATATTTGGGCACTCTCCTCATCGCCATCTCTCAGCATGTCTGTGGGAACCTTCTTCCTGATTCTAGATGGCATTTGGGCCACTGTGCTCCTGCACCCACGTCAGGATGGGAGTGTGCAGAACCAGAGCAAAGCCAAAACGCCACTGGATAAGGTGGGCACAGCAGCCCCTGTACCAAGACTGTCACTCCAGGGCTGGGAATCTGTTTCAAAGGAGTTGCTGGGCTAGAAATAGTCATCCAGACACAAATTATGGTAGAAATATAAGTTGGTATAATTTTTTTGGAGGCAATTTGGCAATATGTATTATGACCTTAAAAATGTACATACCCTTTGGTCCTAAAATAGCACTCCTAGGTATTTATCCTAAAGAAGTAATTATGGCTATGAGCAAAGAGAACTCATCAGCCTATACTGATATTAGTGAAAAAAATGGAAAACAATCTTAAAATCCATTATTAGTTAAATTGTGTCCAAACACTGTCATATTACATAGTATTAAAAGTGACATATAGAAGATATTTAGTGATCTGTGAAGATACACATCTTCTACACAACATATACAGACTGATTTCATCTTTGTAAAAACTATATGTATATTTATGATATATAACAGTTGTAACATATACACATTCGACTTGAAGGAATCACCATAAAATTGACAGCGCCCATCTCTGGGGGATGTTGATGGGGGCAATGTGTGTGGGCTTAGTGCGTAGACTCTGCAGCCATGCTTTTAGGGTCTGTCTTGTCTCCACCTCTCACCACTCATGTGACCTTGCATAATGGTATTCCTTTAGCAAATACTGTGCTTTTTATGTGCCAGTCACTCTTGCAGGCTCTGGGGATAGGATAGAATAGTGAAGAGACAAATATCCATGCCCTCATTAAACTACATTCATTGTTTCTTAACCTCTCTTGATTTTGATTTTCTCATCTGTAAAATGGGGATAACAAAATTGTTACCTCAGCTGACTGAGGATTACAAAGATCAAAATATGTGAAGTGCCTAGTACAATGCCTACAGTAAGCATAAATATGTTAGAGGTTAATATTTGAATTTCTTTTATCTTTGCTTTCTAATTTTTTAATAAGGAAAACTGAATTAAAATAAAACTCCATAAAGCCCTAGATCAAGGGCCTTGGTAACTCCCAGTCCCTGTCACCTTTATCCCAAGTAGAAGGACAACACCTTGTCCTCAGAAACAGGGAAGGTAAGAGAGGAGGGAGGGAATTTCCCCCTAGGAGCTGTGCCTGCCACATTCCTTATGGAAGAAACCACTGCCTTGTAAATGGGCCCAGCATTTCTTGAAGCCCTGAGGCATGACAGGGACCTGGCCCCCAAGATAACTGTTCCCTCTGATCTAGTAATTCAACTCTGTTCTAGAAATCTATCTCATAGGAATAATTCAAGAGAAGCAAAAGGAGACATAATCTAAGACATTCAGCTTGGCATTTTCTGATATTAGCAATAAGCTAATATTAGCTATTAATATCTGATGAAATATAAGTGCACCATGAAAATAAATACCCCATGAAATAGAAGCAGCTATCAAAAATGGTAACTATGAAGAACACATGGGAATATAGAAAATATGTATGATATAATATTAAGACAAAATAAAACTGTATGTGACTTCATCAAGTAAAAATATGCATCGATATGGACAGCTGTGGGCAAACAATGAAAAGCCAGATGAGAGTGGGAATGTGCTGCATCATTTTACTCATAGGCATTTCTCTATGGGACATAAAAGTAAACAAGAACCAAGCCCATCATTCAAAGACACTGAGGACAGTGGTCCTGTGGTGGCTTTAAAAAATTCCATTCTTCTATCTCAGTCTTTCCCAAATTGGGTACCCTGGTAAGTTAAAAGGCGTTTTGTTTTATTTTGCTTGGAGGGGCATGTGGAAGTAGTCGTAATTCAAAGGAGTGAGAAACAGCTTCAAACAAAACTAAGCAGGGGTCTTCATTAGAGCACTTTAATGCTTATGACTGTTGCAGATTTCCGAAATGCACATACATTTCCCAAGCTAGTGATCAACCCCCCTACCCCCCCACCCCGTCCCCAAACACGATTAGTATTTCTGGGACCCAGACGAAGGCCCAGAGTCACAGCCTCCTTCCTCCTGCCTCAGCGGTCTCCCTCTGGCTGGCGCAGGATGCTCTGTTCTGGGCACCGTGTGCTGCAGCTTAGCAGCTGTGACAGCAAAGGCCTAATTATGCTGAAGGATGCACATGGTGTCTCACCTCCAGTGTGGGACATTAGAAACCTGTTGAAGAGATTGCTACTGGCAGCTGTGGGGTCTCTAAGTTGAGAGGTGAAGATTCCTTTTTCTTTCCTAAGTTGGAAAGGTGTTTTGGGGTTTATTTTTTGGTGGTGGGGGACAGGGGTTCATTTTCAGTTGTATAAATTGGATACAATGAGGAATAGTACTTAACCCTTTGATACTTAAAACAAAGGTGAAGAACACAATCTAAATAATTTCATTAATCTAAATTCACCTTTTTATCCATTACAAAGAACCAAACAACTCTGGACTCCCTATGGGAAATATATTGTTGCTACTGGATTCACCCAATCTGCTGACTTTATGTGGATTCTCATATGTTCCTATTAGACTTCCATCCCTGAAGGCAGCAAAATAATCCACAGTTTATACTTCCTGAGATCCTTGAGCTATGCTAGCTGTTAATTTAAATTATTCCAGTGTCTATGATCACTGCCAGATCTTGGCTCCTTCTGGAAAACAGGGGATGAAAGAAGGGCATGGGCTTTGCTCCCCTGCTTCTCAGCTCCCTGAATGGAGGGATCTCTGCCTCCCCAAGCCTCTGCAAGACAACAGCTTTCTCAAAACATTGTTTTGAGACTCAGAAGTAGCTCAGTAAAAGTTTCCTTCCCTCCCAATCTCACATGAGCTTTCTACAAAGAGCCTTTTACAGAAATGGCATACTGGATTTTAGCATTTTGTTATCTTTCCCAGTGGTATGAATGGTTAAGTTCCTTTTCTAAGGAAGGGCACATCTTGCTCAAAGATACATGGGTTTGTACTCAGCCGGGGCCTCCCAGCTTCCTGGATGGCTTCTTGGGAAAACCCACTGTGGGGACCACAGATGTCAGTTAGCAGTTCCGTGTTTCTTTGTAAAACTCACAGTCCACATTCCACTTGATGCTCCTGGGAGGAAGTTTCAGGGTTTCGTTGATCTTCTCCAGGACAGTCTGCAGCTTTTGCTTCTGAGCGATCTCGGACTGGGTGACTTCAGCAACGTTCAGCTTCTCACTCTCAAGTTTCTCTGGGGTGACAAGGGACAAGACAACAGCTGTTATTTTTGGCCACAGGCAACACACACACGCATGCATGTGTACCCACACATTGACTCGCTCAACAAATATACACTGAACACCTACTCTGTGGGGGACACTGCTCTCCGCTCCTTATCTGATGATGCCACTGGGGTACCAGTACTGTGAAAGCCTTGCGGTTTTATCTTGAATCCCCAGGTTATAAGATTGCAGGGCCACGAAGTGGAATATTTAACCCAGCCTCTCGTATTTGAAGTCCTTTGCATCATTCTGGGGTTCCCCTCTTCAGTTCTGCCTTCTCCAAGGACATCTCTGTGCCCTACCTGCAAGGCTGCCTGTGCTGCCCTGGGCGGTGCTCAAGTCCTCATTCAAGGGGTTTTGTGCGTTCCTATAGTACAATATGTGTCATGCTGAATCATACTTATCTATTTTAAGCAACTTCTTTCCTTTTAAACCCACTTGGAAGGTAACTTATTTGATGTGTCCTGTTTCGTGAATTCTAAGACACAGAGTTTTTTTTTTTTTCCTTCACATTTTAACACCGAATTCAGATTGTGTCTTCAAATTGATAGCACCCTACAATTGCCAGCCAGGTGGAAGACTGAAAGTTATCATTGATTCTGTGTGTGTACATTTGGTCATAGCTTTTCATAGTGTAGTCATTTCCATGTCTCAATAAACCTACAAGAGCACTTTCAAAAAGTAGGAAATAAAGACTCTTAGTAATAAGAAAGTTCTGGGTAGTGGTTGAATGGAAAAGTTTTTTCTCTTTTTGCGTGTTACTTACATAATGGTACGTTTTAAAGTCAATGGCTCATGTATGCAATGGCAAAACCCCTTAATGCTTAAAGGCAAAATACAGCCTAATCATTTTATTAGTCTAAATATATATTTTTATCTATTAAAGAGAACGTCTTTGGATTCTCTACTGGGAAATGTCTGCCACTGGATTCACCTAATCCGCTCTCCACAGCTCACTCAGATTGACACAATGGACATTCTGAAACATGTTTAAAATGTCTTTTCTCTTCATTTTTTAATGGCTAACATACAAATTAAACTTTACATTAATGGTACCCTTATTGTTTACATTATTTTATTTTTCAGTAGTTGTAGCTTATCCAAACCAAATGTATAATTCTTTGAAGATGAAGTTACCCACCAGAGAATTTCTGCAGGTTCTGTGGATTTAAGAACTCTTTTCTGAAACTTGATAGATGATCACAAGCTATTCTTATCTGTCATAGCCTGAATGTTATTTTTCTCTTTTCTTTAGTTGCTTGAAGCCATCATTCTTTATTTCTAAAGTCCAGGGATTTAATAAGCTTCTATCTAAATGTCTTCATCTTGAATGTTAAACCTTGGAGAAACCCTGTGTGCCTTTTCCATTTTTAGGCTGTGATTTTTTTTTATTAAAGTGTTATCGATGCACAATCTTATGTTGGTTTCAAATATATAACACACAACACAGTGGTTCACCATTTACCTATATTA